CCGGCGAGCAGATCAGGAAAGGCGTATTCTGGGTCAGAGATCGGAATGGCAAAACGATGAAACCAGAAAAGAACCCCCTTTATATAGGGGGGAAATTGTCATCATTGGGCGGGAGAACCAAAACAGCGCATTTAATGCGCACGACGTCCCAAGCCGGGAAAAGCTGCTCGAGGCCATAATGAAGGACGGATGGCAGTTGGGAAACCCTTCGTCTTCTTACAACGCGTGTCCTCGGTGTCAGAAGATCGAAGGCTGGGGGGCAGTTGATGGGACTCTTCTGAAAAGCCCTAAGATGAAGACACGTGTCCTCGGGTTTTTGGAAACAGTGTTGCCCGGATGTAAGCACCATCGGCGAAGAGCGTCCCTCTCCCCCGAGGTACCCCTTAAAGGATCACATATTCAGGTGCATTTTACAACACGTGTCCTCGGTCGCTGTGTAGCTCGGGAACATACCACCCTCGGTCCCCGAGGCTAGCCTTTCCTCGGTGCCGAGGGTCACTCCATCCTGGACGCTTCCTCTACTCCCGGGTAAAGCTACTGACGTACGGGGCATCAGCCTATGCCAGTCTAAACTATTCATCATGACCTCGTCTAACACAAGTAATGTCAGAACATGCTGGAATACCGACGTCACAGCCAATAGGGGATGGACGCGTGGCAAATAATGTCACATCAGAAGCAGACAAACCGCATGTCGTTGCTGACACGCGACTTGGGAAAGCAAACAATTAATTGCACCCTTCTGTTGACGAGACCGCATTCAATGCGGTAAGGTTCGGATATGAAAGGCAATAAAAGCTCCTATTACAGAGCATTTATTGCATCCTTCCCGAAAGGAGCATATTGTACCGTCGACGTCCCGACGACTCAGCATTTACTGCTCGGGACCCCGAGCAGTCAATTCGAGAAGACATTCCTCATCAAATCAATACACACGCTACCTGTGTCTGATGATCACCTACTGACCACACTGACAGCAATCATAAGCTTCTAAGGTATAAATACTCCTCCCAAAAGGCAAAGCGGGTACGCAATCACAAACTCTCCACTGCAATATAGACTTTCTCAGTGTTTTCTTCTTCCTCTCCCTCATTCAAAGACTGACTAGACCGTCGGAGGGGATACGCCGGAAAACACTCCGGCACCTTTCTAACTAGTTTCCTCTTTATTCCAGGAAAACCTTTCAGACATACAGGATAGTTCTTCCTTTCCCAGGATCCTCTTTTGCCGTTCCAGGTTGCCACCATACCTCGCAGGCTGTGTCAAGCGGTGTGTTTGGCCACCCAACCGGCTCACTCAGAGTTCACCAGGGGAGAGATCTGTTCCCAATATTTTTTATATTGTGCAGGATCCTGCACGCACAATACCTTAAAAGGACTGCATCTCTTGGTCTGCACTATACTGCTTCCCATCTTCTTCTCATAGCTTATACTGAAGTAGACTGGGCAGGGGATCCCCTGGACAGGAGATCTACCACTGGATTTACTATTTTCTTATGTTTTAACCTAATACATTGGGGTGAAAAAAAAAACAACTTACTATAGCCAAATTTTCTACTGAAGCAGAGTAGCGCTTGCTATCTTAGCTGCAGAGCTCTCTTGATTAGAACACTTCTTCAGGATCTCCATGTATAACTTGCTAAACCTCATAGGTCATGGTGTGAAAACATTTCTACCTTAGCTCTTTCCTATAACCTTCTTTTTCATGCGCATACAAAACACATATAAATAAATTATCATTTTTGTTAGAGAAAAAGTGGTGAAGAAAGAACTTGAAATTCCTTTTGTTTCCTCCACCAATCAGTTGGCTGATATCTTCACCAAAAGCTAGGTTCATTCTCTTAAGAGACAAACTCATGGTGGCTTCTCCTCCCATTCATTTGAGGGGGTGTAGTAACACAATGACAAAACAAGATCAAGCCAGACAACTCAAGAGGAGCACAACAATACCAGCATTGCGCATCACACCACTCACACAATAAGACTCTTGTCATAGTGCAACACAGAAGCAGAGCTCACATCAGAGTTTGTTGACTATAAATGAGTGATCTCAGCATGTTATCTAAATAAGCAATTTCAACTTGCACCTTCAAATTAAAATTTGTTAGGTAAAAAATATTATAATAGAAAATTATAATTTAAGGGATAATTACACCAAGACCCCCTAAAATTTGTCACTTAATCACTCAGACCCCTGACATTTAAAATATTACAAACAGACACCCTAAAGTTTGTACGTGTGTAACACTTAAACCCCTACTATAAATATATCAGTTAATAAATTATATTTAGACCCCCTAAAGTTTATAGGTATAAAATACTCAAACTCCTTAAGTTTAAAATATTATACTTAGACAAAAAAATACTCCAATTAAAGATAAAATATCAAATATTTTAAATTTTACAACCAAAATTCATGTTCTATTATATCATTTATTAAAATAAAATCAAAAATAAATATTTAATTTTTTCTTAAGAATCGTAATTAGCATACAGTCATATTGTCTATTGGAATTTAATTTGGCAGTTTAAACGATTAAATTAAAATACCAAACTACCTCAATTAAAGCTAAAAGATATTGTGTCTATTACAGTTTGACCCCTTATTTATTTTTTTTTTTAATTTTATTCTAATAGATTGTATAATTATAGACTAACTGCGATTTTTTTTAAAAAAAAAACTAGACTTTGATTTTTAATTTTACTTCAATAAATAACATAATAGAATATGAATTATAGATGTACATTAATATTCTATTATGAATGACTTAGACCCTTTATTTGATTTTTTAGTTTTATTCTAATAGTAGTATAATTGTATACTAATTACAATTTTTTAAGAAAAAAATTAATTTTTATTTTTAATTTTATTTCAATACATGATACAACATAACATAAATTTTGATTGTAAAATTTAAATAAAATATTTTATATTTGATTGAAATATTTTTTGTCTAAGTATAATATTATAAACTTAAGGAGTCTAAGTATTATATACTTACAAACTTCAGGAGATCTAAGTGTAATTTATTAAGGGATATATTTTTAGTAGGGGTCTAAGTGTTACACTCGCACAAACTTTAGGGGATCGATGTGTAATATTTTAAATGTCAGGTGATCTGAGTGATTAAATGATAAATCTCAGGGGATCTGTATGTAATTCACCCATAATTAAATTAATCACTACAAAATGTTAAGAGATGAAGAAGTGAAATGTTAACAGAGAAAAAATAGGAGGATAAAGTGATTAAAGGTAAGATTTATATTTAAACTACTAATGCTATTGGGACATAATTTTGGGATATAATTTGGAGACTTAATGCATTATAACTATTGTGTTGATAGAGTTGAGACCTAGTGATAATTTAATGTTTGGACCTATTGACAATCTAATTGCCAAAATTATTAAGTTCTCAAATTATGTCTCAAAACATTATTCTATTTAAACATGGTGCACGATGAACCAATCTTTTAAAAAATTGTAAGATATATGAATAGAGTATTAGGAAAATTTAAAACCATCTTTGATATGAGAAATGGAAAATAATATTGATAAAAAAATAGAGGTGATAAATTTTTCATTTTCAAAGGAAAGGAAAAATGTTTTGCCTACTTAGTTGGTAGGAAGGATAAAAAAATGAGAAGGATGGTTTTATATTGTTTATTTATTATGAAAAAAAAATTATAACAAAATATTATAGGTTGAATACCAGTAGTACCCTTAAATTAGTTAAAATTCAAAAGCATGCATGTGGATCCCATCGTGCATTGCTTTGTTTGTTGCCATCGCTTTTTTTTCAATCTATTTTCTTTTCCCAGCCACACAAAGAAAACATTTCATGAGTAAACAAGATAATTAAAAAAAAAAAAACTAATGCTGATGTGATATAATTATTCAATAAAAAAATTACAAATTGGATAAAATGAGACTCATTATTTATTATAGAGGTAGTTATGTATTACATAACTATGTAATTATAAATTTTTGTAAAGTTTACTTATAAATTTATTTACTTATTAGTGGACGATTATACCGCATGACACTATTTATGTAGTGTAACGGTTACGCTCCATATTTTTTTCACTTGTTGAAAACGTTTCACAATATTAATTATAAAATACATCAAATCGACACTCAATAGCCCCTAGTCATTCAAAAGCCGATAGAATCATCAACTCTTTGCAAGATGGAATTCAGTTCTAGATTGTTCATTAAACATTTACTCCATTTTTTGGAGGTTTTGGGTAACAATAACCTTCTATTAGACATTCCTTTTTGGATTGCTAATCTCTGTGTTTTTATTAGTATCGGCATGACTGCTCATTCCCCTATAGCCACCACTGTCAAATGGCCTTAATTATGCTCTTTCGTCTTCTTCTTGTTCGTGTTCTGCATCTGTTGCATTACAGCTCCTCCCCCTTCTACTTCTGTTGTTGCTTTTTTTTTGTTGTTCTTCATCCTCTTCCTCCTTTTCTTCATGTTCTTCTTCTTTTTCTACCTCCTCCTCTTCTTTCCATTTTGCATTCAGTACAAGCTCTTTCTTCTTCTTCTTCTTCTTCTTCTTCTGTTGCTACTTCCCCTTCTACTTCTGCTTCTGTTGCTTCTTCTTTTTCTTGTTCTTCATCATCTTCCTTTGCTTCCTTTTCTTCTTCATTTTCTACCTCCTTGTCTTCTTCCCATTCTGCATTCAATACAAATCACAGAACATATAATCATACAGATTTCAAGGAATTTTACTAAAGATAACTACATTGTTTGGGTGTTTCTTGACAATAAAGCAACCTAAATCAATAGAGTTTTATAGTGATCATTGCCCAAAGGTTTCATTCTTACTCTACGCAAAATTGTATAAATGAAAAATTTGGCCAAAACTAGTAGTTCTATAGGGTCTATCATCTATGGGTCATTTTATGATCATAAAAACCCCAGCCAACATTCTTATTTGTGTATTATATTCATAGTTGTTGTAAAGCATGATTGGAGAGGAGATATCCACCTAATCAGAGCGGGTAATTCGAATCCCAACAACACAATAGAGTATTAAAGTATTGCTTTATTTCTTCTACCTCTTCATAGTACGAAAGGTGGGCTCCACACTCCTTTAGTTGTCCCTTAACCTTCATCTCAAACGAAACCTCCACTTCATCACCTTCTTCAAATGGAACCCAAAACCCCAAATGGCATAACCATAAAATATATCTATCTGCTTCTGGAACACCGTAGCATCTAGGTATATAGGACCAAACAAAATGCTTACTCTTGTTATGAACTTTAACCTTTATTGGATCTTGTAACCAATTTACGATGTTGGAAAATGTGTACACTGCGCACACATTTAAGACTCGTATTTGGTTATTGGAAGGAACACTTAATGTGATTGTGGCCCCATTAGTCTTATACTTAAACCAACATGGAACTTCTCGTCCAGGAAAATATGTGCTAAATACTTTACAGTCCCACAGAATCTGTAAAAAACTCATAGTTTAGCCTTTAATCATTAATGAATGAATAATAAGAGAGAAAGAGAGAGAGAGAGAAAACCTCAACTGAACGCTTCTCTCTACTCCACACAATGCCATTTTCAATCATCACCTCAACATCTGCCATGGAGTCCAAGCTGAAGAAGCCAACATTGTTAATCAATCTTACATCAACTTCTTTTACAGGTTTTGTCTTGAAGGCATATTGAACATAACATAGCCTTATGCAAACACCATGTTGAATTCTTCGTGGCCTGCCCTCACTATCGTAAGTTATTTGCTGCAAAGATCTGCACTCTGTAACGTTCAATTCCTTAACTACTATTGCTGGCCATTGAATCTTCTCGAGCTTTGGACACCAAGATAAATCTAGCATCTGGAGTCTTGACAAATTTCCGACACAATCTGGTAGCCTATGAATATGATTTCCTACAAGAGATAAGGACTCCAACATATTGAGCATACCAAAATCCATGCCAAAAGCATCATCGGTGAGATTGCAATTCCCAAGGATTAAGCTTACTAAAGAACTTGGGAAAGAGGTCCATAATGTGTTTGCGTTTTTCATTGGTTTTCGTACCCAAGGCCAAATGCCTACTGGTACAATATCGTGGGTCATACCAAGTGCTTTATTTATATCAATTCTGTCTGCTCGAAGTACTCTCATTGACTCCATCTTCTTGAGCTCCTCTGCTGACAATATAACATTTGAGCAATCAAAAATATCGATCTTTTGAAGAGATGTTACCTTACTAATGTTTCTTGGAAGTGCCCTCAGACCAATGCAACCTCTAAGATTCAAGATACAAAGTTTCTGTAGGTTCACAATGGATTCATCAATCCCAACCAAGCTTTTACAAAGTTTTAGAATCAGCTTCTATAGATTGGGGGTTATTGTGAAGTCTGGAGTTTTGTTAAGATAATGGGAATGACTGAGGTTTAAAATTTTCAACTGTCCAAGAACCTATTTTAGAACATAGAGAGAGAGAGAGAGAGAGAGGTTAAAGCTTGCCTACTCACACAAATAATTAAACACTAGAATCCTTTAAAATGACAAAAGAAAATTAAGTTACATACCTTAATTGCTCCTTTCCAAAGTCGTTCGAATTTGCTACTGTGCATGTCAAGAGCTACTAAGTTATTTAGACAAAGGCCACTAGGCAAAAATCTTAAACGAGAACCACGCCAATACAAGAATTGTATATTTTGCGAAAATAACCCCTCATTTTTAGAGTATTGTACGTAACTGAGCTTGAGTAATCTAAGGTTGAGCATCCTTTCAAATGCACTAACTTCTAAGTCACTCTCACTTCAATTTCTTGAAGCTGGATCTACGCGGTGCCAAAATAATTTCAAAAAATTATGAGCAGAATCTGTTATAGCAGAATCATCTTCCTCCAACCTCTCCAGGTCAAGAATGAGGCCTTCAATTTTTTCTATGCCCTTATGAAGACAAATACAACAAGAGAAAATGGGATAATTGAGTAACCATATGGACCAAAACTATTGCAGGCACAAGAGAAAGAAGATTCTTACAGTTTTGTCTCTCAAAATTTTGAAGGATTCCTCGTGACACCAGAGTCTGCTACGCTCCTGAGGGGGTGTAGATTCTTCATCAACTATTGCTTTTCCCATTCTTTGCAGCAATGGATGCATTGACAACTTACCATTTTCAATTTTTAAGAGATTTCTTTCAATAAGATTTTGAATCCCAACCACAACAAAACAATCACATCCATCCAGGGTTGTCACCGTATCAGTTTTTTTCTTTCCAATGAAGAAAAAAACAATATCAAGGAATAGTTTTCTATCAAGCCGATCTAAGTCGTCATAGCTTATTCTGAGCTTTTCTACAATTTCAGAGTCAGGAATAGCTTCCAATTTCTTTAATTTGCTCTCCCATATTGCCAAACTTTGCTCTCTTACAGAAGAACCTAAAACTTCAAGAGCTAAAGGAAGCCCATTGTAACAATGTAGAAACCTCTTTGCATGTTCTGTGTAACCATCAATAAGATGTTTATGTCCAAAAGCATGCCAACTGAAAAGTTCAAGTGATTCAATGTCGCTCAGTATTTCAATGTCATAAGTGATATCAATTTCACTTTTCTTTAGCAGGCCCTTCTTCCTAGTTGTTATGATAATTTTGCTTCCTTGACAAAACAAATCCCTTTCTTGACCTAGTATTGCCTTTATTTGGTCCTCGTTTTCAACATCATCGAGAACAAGAAGAACTCTTTTTCTTGACAAGACAAATTTAAGCCTCATGTGGCCATCATAAACATCGTGTACTTTATGCTCTCCTTTATTTTGAAGATTAGAAAGAAGTTGTCTTTGCAAATGAAGTATACTATTGGGGTTTTCAGAAACTTGTCTAATATTTTCAAGAAAACTACTTCCGTTGAATGTGCCACAATGCCTATTGTATAAAACTTTGGCAATAGTAGTCTTTCCTATCCCTCCCATCCTACATATCACAAGTTTGCCGGCAGGGACTGAACAATTCTTCAACCACCAATCTATTTTATTAACTCTAGACTCCATTCCAACTAGGTGGGTAGCAACACTTATGGCCTGCTGCCAAGTTGTCTTATCTTTAACCCATTGAACAACTTCCTGGATGAACTTCGCTTCATGCCTAAAAATTCAAGTCAAAGGGGGAAAAAAGAGCAATATACATATTAAAAAAAATTCAACAAAATCCCATGCAAATAGCTAAAAGAGTGATGATGTCCTGCCACCATTACACCCAATATTTTGTCACGAAGAATCTACTTTTCTCTTTTTTTGTCAAAAAATGAGTGTTGAAAAATATGCCCAAAAACCCTGGAGTTATTGACTCCCATCAATCCGTTTTAAAAAAAACAGAGTCACCAAATTCGTTATAACAAATTCAGAGTTATTGATTCTATTTTTTAAAAATATAATTGTTTGATAAATAAGCTTAAAAGTACTATATATTGATAAATAAACTTAAAAAAGACTATATTTTGATAAATAACTCCTTGACAAATATCATATACCATTTATATGATGCAGTGTTTTAAAACTCAACCCGGCTTGGCAGGCTGACATGATGAACCGACTAACTGGAGCCTAAACCTGGCTGGTTCTCGTATTAGATCTTTTATGTAAAGAAATCGGATAAAACTTGTCAAACCAGATACTTCTTCCCCCAATCTGCTGAGCTGGGCGATTTTGTCAAACCCGTCGAATCAAGTAAAATGTTATAAAATCAGGCTTTTGAGTTTTTTTTCCCTAATTTGATCTTTGTCGTTTTGAGCGGCTGAGCCTCTACCTCTCGTTCTCCTCTCCGCCTCATCTTGGAGTCTGAGGTTTGATAACCCTCAGCTTCTTACTCTGATTCAGTCCTCTCTCTCTCTCTATGATTTGGATGGCTTGCTCACTCAAACAGCCGAACGAACAACGATTTTACGAAGGTATGATAAGATTCATTCAGATCTTCAATGGCAAGTTGCTTCACCCCTCCTCTACGAATTTCATTCTTTAAAACACAACAACATGTACCGTCTCTCTCTCTCTCTCTCTCTATATATATATATATATATTTATCTATAAATAATAAAGTAACTAGATTTCTTTGTTTTTAGTTTTTTGCGGCTCAGATTACTTGACGATTATTGATCTGACAGTCCTAATGCGAAATTTTCTCCCCTAATTTTTTGAACAAAACTTTCATTCATTCCACAATTCTAAGATTCTTAACTCTCTTATAACTCTATCTCTATCTCATATTACACATTAATTTGGTCGTTAATTATGATTCTATATAATTAAAGATTATTTTTAAAATTTTCAAATAAATAAATAGACCTTAAATACAGATTCTTTGTGTCAAAACAAGTCGATTGACTATAAAATATGTCATATTTTGCATTGAAATAAAAATACTATAATATTTGAATGGTATAATAAACGAATAATATATATATATATATAATTTGTGATATATCTATATCTATATACCTAAGGGGCTAGCATTGTTTGTTTTGAACTTTTCGCGGTTCAAATTGTTTTAAGATTGTTGATTAAATGATCGAAACTATTTTAGATTTTTTGTTCGACCAAAAATTAAAAGAATCCTTTCATTTTACTCAATTATCGGTTCGAAGTAATTATGATAAGGATTCAAATTGAGCTGAATTTGATTATCGAATATAAAGTATATATTTTTACTTAAACTTAACTTTGCTCGAATTTCACTAGTTTATTCAAATTTGAAGTTAAATTGAAATACATTATAAAAATAATTAAATTTAAAAAAATTATGGTGTCACTATGAACAAGAATAGATAAGAATTTCTTTGTAGGTTTAAGATAAAAGTGTTAATTGAGTCGAACTTAAATTCAATTCTCCGTTTGATGTAATTATGATTAAGACTAGAATTGAGCCGAATTTGACTATCAAGTATAAAATATAAATTCTTACTTAAACTTAAATTTGATTGAATTTTATGAATATTTAAATTGAACTAAAATGAAAATTGATTTTAATTTCTCAACAATTTTTTTTTTATATTTACGAGAATTTGCATGAAACTTTTAGTTGTTTTCCTCATAAAAGTTACATAAACTCACATTGAAAAAATAGTGTAGAGATTATATTATAAACTTTAGATAGAAACCTATAGAAAAAAAAGTAGTTATATTTTTTTTAAAAATTTGAGGTAAACTTTATTAACAATGTTAAAATAGTGAATGTTTGATTAATAATAATTATATTTTTTTAGATTTTTGAATTAATATGTTGCAGTAGTTGCAACGTGACTTTCGATATATAAAAGTTTAATTGTATATGTTCTGCATACAAGTTGAACAATATCAATTTGATCGTTGTACTATTGAAATTGTATTATACATTGTCTTTATTAATGAATAAATATTTACAATTTTTTAAGAGTAACATAGTGCGTTCAGGCACGGACAATTACTAATATATATATATATATATTTGCCTTGGGTTTTACTCAATCAAGTGTTGAACTCGAACAGTCGAACAAATTACTAGCTTACGAAGGCAGGACAAGACTAACTCAAATCTTTATTGGCGATTTTCTTAACCCCCTCCTTCTCTGTGCCTTTCTCTTGAGATTTGAGAATCTTGAGACATAGCAGGTACTCTCCCCTTCTCTCTATCTCTCAGTACTGGTTAGATCTACTATGATTTGTATGAATTCTTATAAAGTTGATTTCAAGAACTATGCAATTAAGTGCATATTATTTGATTTGATTAACAACAGATTAGGCAAATTATATTGGAATTGAATGTATTTATTTGATAATTTTTGCGTGTTTGTGTGATTTAATATATATTAAACATGTCATTTTTATAATTATTGTAATTTTTTAGCTTATCTA